TTCCATGGCAAATACATTCATTCACTGAAGTGCAGACACTCTTTGGAAACCCACCATAGCCAAGAGGTGAGGGATAGGCTCCATTATCTACAATCATTTGGTGAACAGCTTCGTCAATTTCATCTGTTTTTACACCTGGCTGCCAAGGAAACAAAAACAAAAATTTTCAGAAAATGTAGTAAGCCCAACTCCCCGGTAGCACATGGTCAATCTACGTTTCATCTCTAGTTACTCATCGTATGACCGGAGTTTAACAACTATAATGAATTTTACAGTGGCAGGAAGAGAGAAATAGAAAAGATAAACTTAAAAAAAAAAAAATGATTTTTCAAACTTAGTTTGCAATTTATTGGCTCAACTCCCATGAATTCCTATGAACTCGAAAGGAAGGGTTGAGAAGGGAGCACATACAGTAGTCTGACAATACCCAAACAAAGTATAATAATGATCCAATATGGTACTCGATTCAAATTCATTCAAAATTTAAGAAAACTTTTAGTGGACAACAAAAGCCAAAAGAGTCGTTATTTACCTTGACTAAAGTTCCAGCATATTCAAGAACCTGTGCAGCAAGTCTGCCCGAAGCTCTCATGCATTCTATCCCCTTCACATCATGCACTTCAGGTCCACTTGCAATTCCCGGAGCTTGCCGAGTATTGACATAAGGAGGCCTTGGTATATGATCTGGAACAGGTCGATAAGGAGACAATTTCCCAGGCCTTAGTCGCTTACGCTTTGTGCTTGGAATGTCATCTAGATTACTGATAATTGCAAAAGAGTAGCTGTCAGAGCAAATTTTGATGATCTATCTACATGTATAAGAATATTCTTGTCTCTGATTTAGGGAAATAGCCCACATGCAGATGCAAACACCATTTTATAGCATACCTTCTATTGAATAAGAGGTTAGTTAAGCCAGAGAACTTTCTGGGTAATTGTACTGACACTCGACTCCTTCCTGTGTATAAGAATTGCAAAATGCAAGAGAAAAAAAAAAAGATTATTCAAGACCTTCACCCAAAAAATAATAATAACAATAAGAAAAGATACTAATTGTGCAGTTATGCAGCAGTTGAGTTGCGAAGGAGCAGGAATTTAATACACAATTCCAAAAAACATATGTCTCCAGCAACAGAATTCCAGAAACAAAAGCGTCTATGATTCACACAGATTCTTCATTTCTCAATGAGATCAAGTTCAGTGGAATACAATATCAGATTTTATCAATTTTTAATGCAAGAAAAATAAGCAGATTGTAGGGGTACTAGCACCAGCAAGTAATTTTTAAGCATTTAGGAAGAAAAAGAATGTGCTCTTTTGTGAATATGAAAGCTGTGTCAACATCGCAAGTCATACTACTTGCCTTTGAATTCTCAATTCTAAAAACGAATTCACAAGATCCCTTTGACGTCACTGAGCATGAGACTTTGGAAAGGTTATAGACCATGTAAAGCAAATGCATCCTATTTCTAGCACACTACAATGTTAAACTTTTACCGAATTAGTCAAATAATCAAGTGACCATATCTCACTTTCTAATAAGTAGTGAGGGATCTCACAGCCTAAGCACAACAAGGCACTTAATAACGGGCACAATCCACCACCAAGTTAATAGCCCATCATTCCGGCCTCCCATTGGATGCCCTACTATTACAAGGGCCAGAGAAACCCCATCCTTCTCTTTTTCTATTTTACAATTCCACATTGACACGTGGAATGGACAATGGGGCACAAAAGAGGATCCTATAACTTATATCGACCTAGGATAATAAGCTCATGTGTTTAGTCTAACATCACTATGGACAAATAGAAGAAGACTTCCATTTCCAGTGCGCAAATATCTTGTTTCAATCGAGAGTGTTACGACACTAACTTGTTTAGTTAAGACACTGCCTTAATTTTTCTCGTTTACCTATCATAGCAAGCACTAATTTAAAAATCATCTTAGTAGATATAAAACTTGTATTTCCATTACGAAATAGAAGTTCACATCAGTTCATCCAAGAGAATAGTATCCCATCAACTACCAACAATAAAGATACTCATCACCAGCTCCACAATAGCTACTTCAAAAAATAAAACTTTTATGCACCATAAACATCTTGCACCTGAACATTCTATCCATTCACACAACATAAACACTCATTTCGTAGAATTAGCACTTGCATACACACATTATCACCAACTACTATACAATTAAAACCCAATATTTCAGAAAGAACGGTTCAAAAGATGAATGAAAAAAGATTGCATATAAAACTGGAACACAGAAAGTGGAAAAGAATAAACAACAGAATACAAAACATCTAAAAAAATTGTGGAGTATACCTAAGTTGTAGCGGAAAACTTGAGGGAGAGGTTGATTTGAGTAAATAAATCGACCACCCACAAAAGAAGAAACGATTTTCGGTTGCAGAGACGAAGTTCCTACCATTTTTTGTTCTTCACCAACTCTTTGTTCAATGACTTCTGTCCCTCCGTCTCTTTGTTATCCGTAAAAGCACTTCACTGGCTATCAGCCCATCACTCCGACGCTCTTTTGTTGGGCCAACCAGACTTTAAACTTGAGGTCCATTTATCAAGTCCATCATCCCTCATGACCCATAAAATTAAAGCTTCAGAAGTTACTAAAATACGACAACAATCCCCCAAAAACTGAAGATTAAGAAGCCCATTTCATTTTTTCTTAAATGTTTTTTTCATCGTTAAAATTGCTTAAAAAACCAAATCTTAATCTAGGATTTAAGAGTTTGTCACACCTTACCCCGCTAGCAAATGATTTTGAGATTCAATTTATAAGATTTAAGTCCTAATTAAGTAGGCATTTGCTGAGGACACTCGCGTACCTTCTAATAAACAAGAGGTTAGTTAAGCCAGAAAACATTATGGGTAATTGCATTGACATTCGATTCCTCCTGTGTATAAGAATTGCAACATGCAAGAGAAAAAATAGATGATTCAACACCTTCAAAAAAATAATAAAAGATACTAATTACGCAACTAAACCAACGGTTAAGTAATTAAGTTGTAAAAGAGCAAGAATTTAATACATAATTCTAAAAACCAATATCTCCAGCAACAAAATTGTCTACACAGAATTTTCATTTCTCAATGAGATCAAGTTCAGTGGAATTAACACGTTCAAAAGCAAATTCATGTGGATCTAAATAAAAACCTTAATATGTACTAGGTTAGACTTGAGATTTGACAATTGATGTCAAAACGGAATCATTACTCGATTATACTGGTGTAACAACCTAATGAGGACTCAAGGTCCATAAGGTGGGAAGTTTATCACAATCTATCTAGCTAGCAATTGAGCTTAGGATTTATTTTATTGTTGAAAACATTTACGTGAAGTCCAAAAACAAGCCCGTACAATGGGAAATGATTTTTAGCCCCCATGTAATTGATCAATTGCCCCCATTTAAAGGATAAATTTGTAATAAAAGTTAATAATAAATGATGCTTAGTAAAAGATTGAGTGTAGTTAGCAAAATAGTTATTTTTGCATAAAAATAGCTACCATTTTAGTCTCTCATTTGCAGTCGATAAAATCTGTCAAATCCAATATTCCTCCTTCTTGTTTTAATGATCAAATCTATTTTGTTTTCATCAATCAATTATATTCTAATTAATGTTATTCATAACAACCTCCTTTAAAATTATGACAATTTTAAAAATGGGTTTCATTTACTGGTGAGGAATATAAACAGCTTTACTCATACAACTAACGTTATTCATAATAACCACCTTTAAAATTATGCAAATTAGTCTTCTAATATCTCATTTAAAAACTGCCGACTCAACCCCGTTAATAATATTATCAGTTGTATAATAAATAGGTTGGTTTGGCTTCCTTTTTTTGTTTTTTTTTGTTTTTGTTTTTGGACTGCCGACTCAACCCCGTTTTAGTTGCCTAGAGTCCATATTGGGGTGGGGGGCTCACCAAAATGTTAAAAATATATAGTGTATTTATTTTTATACTGACAAAAATAAAAGTTCTTTAAATATTATTCTATACTTTTTTTACTGTATTATTTATTTTTAATGGGTATTACTATTATTATTATTATTATTATTAAATAGATTTTCTGTAATTAATATCTAATCCTAAGCATGTATGAAAGAATTTTATAAATCTATATATGAAAAACTTAAGAAAAGAAGAAGTAAGACAGGAAAAGTACTTAAATTTCAAAAATGGTTTCTCAATAGGTTAAATGGTCAAGAACAGATATTAACTTTCTGATAATTAAATTGATATTGAATGATTATCTTAGTGCCCAATAGTGTTATCCCTTAAGTAACAGTTCCCCCATACTAATACCATACTGTGACACTAGCTTATACATCACTATGTAAATTTACACTTTAACTTCTATATCATTCTTAATTAATTTTTACTTGGTAACACTCTTTATCATTTTTTGTTTGAATAACATTTGTTAGATCATAAAATTGTCGAACCAAATTGACATTGATGCAACATAATCTACTAATTCACCACTCTTAAATTATGGTCAAATAGTTAATCATATTGTCTTTGACATAATTTAAAGGGGAGAACGACAATTGCCCACCCAAGGTTTGGCCAAACGACCCTTTCCCACCCAAATTGTTTCATAATGACACTTTCCCACCCATCGTTAAGATTTATCCATTAACTTTAACTGAAGAATAACATAATGGTAAACCACTCCAATGTCTATCCCAATTCCACCTCCACCACCCGTTTCATGCCCTCCACCAATACCACCTGTTGCTCCTCCTCTAGCACCATCACCTACACCTCCACCAGCTCCAAACTCGCCACCATGACCTAAACTCCCACCTATTCCTCCTCCACCACCTATGCCTCCAGTTCAGATCCTCCACCTAATCCACCTCCAACTCCTTCTCCTCCACCCCCACAACCATCACCACCTCCAACTCATCCTCCTTCACTCCCGCCACCATCACCTCTCCTCCAACACCACCACCAACACCATCACTCACACCTACTCCAACATCAAAACCTCCACCATGGCCAGAACCACCACCAACTCCTCCTCCTCCTCCTCCTCCTCCTCTTGCTCCATCACCACCATCAATACNGATGCACCATTAGACCAAACACAAGCATCTGCTTTAAAGTTTCTGTAGGAAGCAGTGAAAGGAGCTTGAGTCCAATCTGTCTTCACAAGTCCACCTCTGGTAGCCCAGTCATCAGCATTCCAGAGAGAAGAGTATATTCTCATTGGCTGATTCTTTGGGAATGGAACACCACTTGACTCTGAGTTCTTGAACTCTCTTATGGGAGTACCATCCACAGAGAAGCTGAAATTAGAAACAAAAGATTGGTGAGTCTAAACAGATCCAGAACAACAACTAAGCAAGATTGAGATTTAAGTTAGAGGGAAGAAATTAATTAAATAGAATACTCACACAATGCGCTGGGGATTCCAGAGAATGGAATAGGTGTGAAAATCAGCAGTTGGGTCAAACCAGAGATAGAATTGTTGTTCTCTGTTACCCTTTCCTTGGCTGAAAACATTGGTATGAAGAATGTAAGGATCACCACTCAAATTTCCCAAGAATTCGAAGTCTATCTCATCCCATGTAGACCCTTTTGAAGATAACTGCAAAAATACACTCATTTTAGTAACATGATCACTGAAAAAGAAATTAAACTGAAAATCTAATCAATACAGTTGAGGAACTTACATAATAAGCAGTGACAGTGCCAGCAGAGTTTCCCGGGACAAGTTTGAGCTGCATATCAATATTCCCAAATAAATATTCATTCCTGGATTGGAAGCCAGAGCCAGAGGCTTTATCAAGATTCAGAGTAAGAAGCTCCCCGTTGTTGAGAATCTTTGCACGGCCATCTCCCCAAGTGATGTCAAAATCTTGGTTGAAGTTACCAGCAGAAGCAACCATCAAAGAACCAAGAAGAAGAAACAAATGCAACATTGAAGCCATAGAATCTCTGATTGAAGCGAAGAACAATCTATGAAACTAAGTGAAGTTTGAATTGTGATTAGTGAAAGTGAAGCGATGAGTTGAGAATAACAATGGTTTGTATTTATAGTGAGGCTAGGCCTGTGTATGAAGAAGCGAAGAGGAAAGTGACAGGAAGGAAGAATCAGCTAAGCTGGGGACAGTTGTTGACATGAAAAAGCGTTAAAAGAAAAGCTGGAGGTGTCGCAATCAAAAACAAAAGAAGACAGCCACAGCCAGGATATATTATAATAATAGTGAATAACACGCGGTTTGGGTTGTATTTGTAGAGGAAACTGGAAAGTAATAGATTTACTGGCTGTTGCCCGTTGGGTGTTGCCATCACCAGCTGACTCTTAGATTTTCAACAGGCTCATTAATGACAGTATAAGACAAGTGGAATACCCATACATTGTAATCTAATTCTTATCATCTAAGTGAAACTTTGAACACAATTTAACGGTTTTTACTTCTTACCAGCCTTTGAACAGGTGTTCTACTTTGTCTATTGGGATCATAATGTAGTTGGTCAAACCTTTGAACATAATTTAATGATTGTTAGTTGTTACTAGCCTATTATATTATTTCGGAATGAGCAAACCACATATTTCCACCTAAAGTTTAGCGAGATCTTAGATTGATACTCTTAATTGATTTATTTTAGATTTTCATTTTTAAAGTAACGTCATTTCTTTTAGTTTAACAAATTTTCAATTTTCCACTGTAACACGATGTACGTTAGCACACTAAAGTGCATTATAAGGGTGTTCGATTTTGGGTGTCCTGCATTTTTTGAAGGAACCAGAATTGAAACTGACGGTTCCTTAAAATTGGAATCGAAACCGGAACTGACGGTTCTAATTCCTAAGTACCCAGAACCGGAACCTGTAACAACGGCTTCGGTTCTGGTTTTGGGTACCCCATAAAATTCTATGACCCCCCAAAAGTTTTTAAAATAGCAAAAAAAACCCTTAAAAACTTACAAATACCACCCCCTCACCTAGACCTGGCAAAACGGGTGGGTGGGCCGGGTACAGACCGGGTCAAACGGGTACGGGCCCTTATACGGGTTGAGATATACGGGTCCAAAATATTGGACCCGTGCCCTACCCTATACGGGTAGGGGTGGACCCGCGGGTGGACCCGTTTTTTCTCTCTCCAGATTTTTGTTTTACGGTTTCACCCCTAATAGTTTTCAATTATGACAATTACACCCCCAAAATTCTTGCAGTTTTAATTTTTTACATTTACACCCCCTAAATAAACTACTCTAAATTCAATTCAATTAAGAATATAAACAAATAAGAACCAAAATAAAAAAATAACACATAAACAAACAATAACATATAATACAAAACTACAAATACCAACCAAAATAAATAAATACAAAATCACTAATACACAATTACACATAAACAAACAAAATAA